AGTTGAAATCAAACCTACGCCCTTGCTCCAGTCCGTTAAAGGGCATAACCATAGATGTGTTCATCTAAATGTGTTTTGTGATAAACATGAGCACAGTTTGGGCTGCCCCTGTGGTTTCTTCTTGTTAAACCTATTTATACACTGAGGAGTTTTTGTACAGCGTTCCTGCTTTCTGTGTCACTGTGTCTTCGAGCACAGTAATAAACAGCAGAATCTCCAGCTGTCAGACTGTTCATCTGCAGATAAACCTCATTTCTGCTGTTCTCTCTGGAGATAGTGAAACGATTTCTGACTGAGTCAGAGTAGTGGATGCTGTTGCTGTCGTAGTTGATATAAGCAATCCATTCCAGTCCTTTCCCAGCTGCCTGTCTGATCCAAGCTATGTGACGATTGCTACTAAACCCAGAATATGTACAGGTCAGTCTGTGGGATTCTCCAGGTCTTTTAACCACTGGTTCAGACTCAATCAGTGTTTGACCATCAGTACCTGCAAATAAACAGAACATTTTTGAAGTATATTAAAACTGTGTTTATTACTGAAGAGGTTGCTTTAATTTTTTTTAATCTTTTAACTCTTCACCTTTATTTTATTCTTATACATTTTTCTAAGGTCCATATTTGTGTGACCCTTTTTTCTATAATCTTTTTGCTGCTGTAAACACCAGAATTTTACCATTATGGGACAATAAAGGGATTTTCTATTCTATTCTATTCTATTCTTTTTTTTAACAATGCTCTGTTCTTACCTGTCCAGTTCACTGTCACGATAAGAAAAGCAATCACAAGCTGATGAGGTCTGATCATTGTAGCAGCCATGTCTCTCTTCAGTCTGCTTTCTGTCTCTAATTGAATGCAGGTCTTTTATTGTCTTTGACACATAAGGAAAAATTAGAAAAATATTTGCATCAACTCCTCCTTCTGGAAGAGACACGTATCTTGATTTTCAGCAGGTGTTTCTTTTTTAGGATAACTAGTTTGTATATTCACTAAAACTATGAATGTTGTTTTTTTATCAGATGAGATCTAACTCATGAATTTATTTTTGTTGTTGCTTATTTGTTTTTACGTTTACATTTTTTTTGTGTCTTCAGTTTCAACATGTCAGGGAAAACATTTTTTTTACACTGACCAACAAAAAACACTTGTGCAAGAGCCTCATATTATGTATATTCTGTAGTGTTTTTGTGCTGTTTGTGTCGCTGTACAGCAGAGTATTCATCAATCCATTTAGAGCCGCATTTTTGCTGGAATCCTGTAGAGATAGAAAAGTTTTTTTATTCAAAAAGCATTGTAGACTGATAATCAATTCAATTCAATTTATTTATATAACGCCAATTCACAAAACATGTCTTCTCCAGCCACTTTGATTCAGTTTTCTTTTAAAGGAAAACCAGTTCTATTGCATCAACTCATTGACTTGAAGGCAATCCCTCAAACTAAGCATGCTTGCAGTGGCAGTGGAGAGGAAAATTCCCAGGAAGAAACCTCCAGCAGAACCAGACTAACTGTGAGCGACCATCTGCTGAGGCCAACTGGGGTTCAAGGAGACAGAAGCAGACATAGAAAAAGAAGCAGAGATACGAAAGGCAACTGTAAACCAGCTCCACAGGCGGCTACTTCCGGAAACACACAGCCAGGCAGACGAGCACGGAGCCAGCTCCCTTGTCAGAGGATGAAGAGAGCACATC